GAGTGCGGGAGGGCATCTGACACACAGGAGGGAGGGAGTGTGGGAGGGCATCTGACACACAGGAGGGAGGGAGTGCGGGAGGGCATCTGACACACAGGAGGGAGGGAGTGCGGGAGGGCATCTGACACACAGGAGGGAGGGAGTGCGGGAGGGCATCTGACACACAGGAGGGAGGGAGTGTGGGAGTGAGACTCACGTGGATAGTGCTGCTGTGGTCCCCTGTAGTTCTGGTAGTTTCCTGGAGGGGGCGTGTTGCTGTACTGACCTCCTCCTCCTCGGCCCAGAGAGTGACTGAAGAAGAAGAAAAACACTGAATTTAAAACAAAACAAGACGATAAGAAAAACACAAATGACACAAAACAGAGACAGGAGGAAACCCGGGTTTTTCTAGTATTAATCCCTGGGGCTGTGACGCTAACTGGAGGCACTGCTCTGTCTCTGTCTGATAAAGCTCAGAAAACCTGAATCTGACCAAAAGGGATGTGACTGATGACAGATGAGCTCTTCTGTGTCCTCTGAATCCATTTTTGTATTTTTTGATTCATTTTCAGAGCATCTTAAAAACTGATCAGTCCGTGTTTGTAACTGTGTGCCTCTTGTGTCACCGTGGTAACTGCTGAACATTCCACCATACACATACACGTAGAACCCCCCGCCATGATGTCACTGCACAGTACCACGTCACATGCACGTGAGCTCAAACACGCTTCAGCCAATCAGCTCTCAGCACAAAACCCCTCAGCCAATCAGCTCTCAGCACAAAACCCCTCAGCCAATCAGCTCTCAGCTCTGTACATACTGATTAATACTGTGACAATTTTAGGACGACGATATCGAGATCATCAGTATCGATACAACTCGAGTATCAGAGCGTCTTTAATCCTGTTTGGTTCATAAATTTACAAATATAAATAATCATAAGGGTCATGGGTCAGGTCCCAATCCAGACCTGGTTTAGATTCAAGAGGACTTGGACTTGGTCTGGTTCTGGGTCTGGTTCTGAGCTGTGATTGGTGGAGGCGGGGCTCGGTCTGGTTCTCGGTCTGGTCTCGGTCTGGCTCTCGGTCTGGCTCTCGGTCTGGCTCTGGTCTGGTTTGGCTGGTTCTCGGTGGGCTTGGTCTGGTTCTGTGCTGTGATTGGTGGGGGGGCGGGACTTACTTGAGCGCTCTGTGTCCTGATTGGCCGAGGTGAGCCTGCTGTCTGTTGGGGTTGAAGCCGAGCTGTGGTCTCCAGGGCTGACGGCCGCTCGAGTTAAAGTCCTCGGGCTTCAGGACTTTACCGGGGATCCTGAACAAAACGAGGCACTTTAAAACGACAAAACATGACAAAACACGACACAAACTTATACTCGACACAAACTTCTGCTCTGAAACTGATCCAGAGTCTGTGGGGACGAATCAGTTTGTGTTTAAACCTCAAAAAGTTCAGATCAGTGACAGGTTTCAAGTTTAGGCTCAAGTTTTGTTAGAAATATAGACAGATAAGTTTAGTTCTAAGTACAGAGAAGTTAAAAGTTGGTGTAAAGTTTGGTTTATTTTGAACGGTTTGGGGGGAATGTAAATGAATCACGGTAAATGTTTTTAGCTCTTTAGGGTCGTTCACACCAAAGAGTCAAAAAAACACCTCAACGTTTCTATTTGGAGCCTTTGTATTTGAGTTCAGACGCCCCCGACGCTCGTGTCTTTGACGCCGTGGACCAACGGGAGAAAAATACTCGACGTGCGTCCGTTGCCCTGGAAACAAGAGCCCGGTCCTGGTCTTTTCCTGAAACAATGTCAGACCAGACTGAGAGACTTTAGAGTTTTTATCACATAAAACATCAGAGGAGGAAATCGACTCGACGACTGGAGCGAGTTTATATTTATACTCCACTAATGACACTGGAGCAGTCCTGGTCTAGTCCGGTCTAATACCGGCCTGGTCCCGGTCTAGTCTCGGTCTAGTGCAGGTCTAATACCGGTCTGGTCTCGGTCTGGTCCCAGTCTAGTCTCAGTCTAGTCCTGGTCTAATACTGGTCTAATACCGGTCTAGTCTCAGTTTAGTCCTGGTCTAATATCGGTCTAGTCCCGGTCTAATACTGGTCTACTCTTGGTCTAGTCCTTGTTTAGTCCTGGTCTAGTCCTGGTCCGGTCCAGGTGTTGTCCTGGGTGATTGTGGTGTATATATTTATTCTCTGTTCATGTTTGTGGTTCTCGTTCTGGGGTTTTTCTTCCTGATAATAACGTCGCTGTGTCTCTGGATACTCGTCCCTGATTGGTCGACGCGGCGCGACTGACGCGAAAACATTTTCAACTTCTTGACGCTGACGCCGTAGACGCGCCGCAAAAACGCAGGACGCTCTAGTCGCTCGTCCACATGGACTTGACACAGAAACTGGACACTTTGACACTTTGGTGTGAACGAACCTTTAAAGTGACTCAAATAAAAAGGTGTTAAAAAGGTCAGATTGTGTTGGAGGGTTTATTCAGACACAGGTGGTGTGGACTCACTTTGCCCCCGGGAGCATCACGGCTTTAAACACGTGTCCAGGATCAAACTCTGGATCTTTGAACCTCACCCTGAAAAACAAAAACACAAACAGAAACATGAGCGACACAGAGGCTCAGGGGGTGAAGCGCCCGCCCTCTAACGGGAGGATCAGCTGAGCACCTCGAGGAGCCGCTGGGACAAACTCTCCTCACTGCAGAGTCTTGTGTGGTTTGTTTTTACGCTCAGCTGAAGCTCTGATGTGAACTCAGACAAACGAAGACGAGTCATGAAAGAAACTCTGAGCTGCAGCGGAGGACGAGGTTCATTTTAGGCGACCAATAGAGCCAGTGTTGGCAAGTTTACTTTTAAAATGTAATCCCCTACAGATTACAGATTACACACACCAAAATGTAGTTTGTCACGTAATCCATTAAATTACTTAAAATTGAGTAATGTAATCTGAATACTTTGGATTACTTGATATTGTCGTGTTTTTTAAAACTACATGAATGTATCAACCACATCCTGAACATTCTTGTTGTTTTCTTCAAATTGTTTGTTGAGCCCAAGTCTCCATGAACACACTTTGTTTTACTGTAGAGAAACAAAGACGAGGATCTGAACGTAAAATGTTTTGTTTGATAAAAGACAAGAAAAAGTCCAGACTTTACTGAACTGTATTAAAAATATTAGTGATAGAAAAATGATTTACCTACAGGAAATCACTGCTGCTTTAAAGTATGTCCATCTACTGTTAGTGTCGTATGGTCCTAGTCCTGGTCCTAGTCCTGGTCCTAGTCCTAGTCCTGGTCCTAGTCCTGGGTCCTAGTCCTAGTCCTGGTCCTGGTCCTAGTCCTGGTCCTAGTCCTGGTTCATCCCAAAATGTGAAAATGGTTAAATCCCTCTGTGTAATCCATTTATTTGAACAAAGTAACTGTAATCCAATTCCCACTCACTGAAACAGTAACTTTAACTGAATACAGTTACTCACCATTTGTACTCTGATTACTCTGGTAAATGTAATCTGTTACTCCCCAACACTGACCGCAAAAACTAATCACAGTGGTACTGAGAAACCCACCACGAAGCAGGTTGGGCCGCCGCCGCCGCCGCCGCCACACGTGACCACCGTGACCCGAGGCGCCGCAGTGAGCTGGACAGATGCAGCGGCACTTGTCCCAAAACCAAATGTTATTTCTCTCCTTTTTGTGCGAACACACCGTCTCCAGGAGGATCCATCGACTCCAGCGCAGAAACACTCACACGGCGGCGCCACAACAAAGATTTCTCTCCTCTCCAAAGTCGCCCGTAAATCCATGCACAAGTGAACCAACAGAGAGGATTCTCAGTGCCACTGGAAATACTAACTCCACTCTGATCATCTCTCAAACCTCAGAAGGTGAATATGCTGGTTTTTCTCACACACCACAAGGACATGGCCCAGGTGTAAGGCTGTGTTCAGATGCACCTGAAGTGACACAAATCTTGATTTTTTTCACCTCCATGTTCCTGTATCTGATCTTTTAATGTCTGAACCACACAGATGTGATGTTTTCACATGTGACCAGGACACTTGGATCTGTGCTCCTGAAACTGATCCATATCTGATCTTTAACATGTGACTTGAGTGTGAACAGTCAGGTCACATTCATCCACCTACACGTCATCAACAAGACACAAACGTCACTATTCTGCGCTGAAGTAGAGAAAACTGTTCATGATTCATGTGACTGAAGTGAAGCACATCTCCACTCACCACAAAACACCACCACCAAAAACCTGCTCCTTCTCCTTCTCAATCTCCTCCTTAAAACAAGTCAGTTGTTCATGTTGTGGCTCCGGTACGAGAGGAACTTTAAAATCTCCAGGTGCTCGATGCTGCGTCCATGTTTGTTCAACTTGTGTAAACACAGAGACGCTCGCTGCGGTTGACGTCGTCGTGTCTCCAGTGTCACATGTGGGACACTTTTGGACCGTTTAATGTTCACACTGGAGTCACATACAAGTCACATTTAACTGGAAATGTGAACCACCTCGAAAAAACATCAGATTTCACAAAAAAATCAGAATTGAGCGTCAAACCTGCAGACTGAACGGAGCTAAGTTATTTCTTTCTATGTTCAAGGAGATTTGAGGGACAGAGGGAGGGTCTGTTGAGTTGTTATGACACTGCAGGAGAAACTCGTGACCCGCGACAGCCCTGGTGAACAACTTTAACTCTGAACTAAAAGTCTGAGCATGAGTTTCCCAGGTGAGTTGTGTTGAGAGTTTGGTCCACACATCCGTACGACTCAGAGCTGCGGAGTCGGAGCTCGTTTACTCTCAAACTTCCACATCAGCATAATAAGATCTGAGACACAAATTACAGTTGTGTCTGATTACTGCGCCGCTCATTTACACTGAGGGACTTAAAGCTGGAGCTGTAAACACGAGCCACAGCTGGAGACGAGCGGCGCCTCTGCAATCACCGTCCTGATGTGCAGCTGGAGCCACATCTGCACAACACTGCACGTACGTGTACGACACAACGC